CATGACATCTACTCTTTACTGGATGAACAAACGAATTGAAAACTAAAAAGAAACTGACATGAAACTCAACAAACCTCCATCGTGAAGAGGTAGTGTATAGCTACGCTCCATATGGCTGGAGACCAGATAAAAGTCAGAAGATTCAATGATTTTCCCTTGTTTGGCCCTGAGGGCGTCACATCATCGGCTCGCAAATAAAAATAGATAATAGCAGAGTAGATCAACGTGGCAAATCCTAAAAATTGAGAATTATGGGTCAAAGCTAAAGTGATGTGCACTGATAGCTGAACTTGCCGGAACAGACTGACACTCTCCGCCAATAAAAATAGGCAAGTAGCGGCAAGATGAGCCCTGCAGTCGTACTACCACAGCCAAGAATAGAAAACATTTTTCCATAAGAACCATCGGTGTACCACTATGAAAAAAAAACAAACATAAATTGAACCAGAAAGCACTGCGTTAATTCACTTACCTTTGCCAAAAGCTTCGTGGCTGGAACCCAAGACGCACCTTGAAGAGCACCGACGCATGCTAGGGCGAAAAGAACATGATAGAAGGATGAAACGTACCCTAAAAGGTATTCATCAAGACAGATGAGCGACAACCTATCCAGGGACATAGGAACACAACAGTAGGGTAGGTAGGAGAGATCTGCAGGATATGGACATGAGTAACCTGGACTAGTAAGACATATGACAGAGAATAAATAGTGAGCTCTAATCATCCCGAGATTCGAAATTTCGACAGGAAGTTCAACACTCACGCCAAGAAAAACTGTACATACATGACCTCTACCCCACCTTCGCATCCATATGGCCTAAGATTTGTTCATTTGTCTCTCGATATGCATCAATAACCATTTATTTATCATGAGTTATCAATAGTATCTACCGCTAAACGCAGCTTCGAAAGTTTTATCTACCTTGAAAAGAACGCAAGAAAATTACAAACTTTCAACATAGACCCTTTGACTCGACCACAATTTTGGTCTGCATTCATGATTTTTTGAAAGAATCGAACTACTAGTATAAGATAGATATGCTTTTCAGGAGTAATCTGAGTTATCATCACAAGCTTTCTACGACGTTGTAA